TAACCGGTCCCGGTCCCAAAAAACGTCAAAAACCCTAACCGGATCATAACCGGCGGTCCCTCAACCGGTCCCGGTCGGTCCCGGTCCCTCTCCGGTCTCGGTCCCGGTCCCGGTCCTCCGTCGGTTACGGGCCGGGCCGAGCCCATTTGGCCATCTCTAATCATGAGTGATCTATGCAAAAAGTTGGGCCTCAAGGTATTGTATTTCAGCCTACTGGGCCATGTTAGAACTGTATATTTTATCTGACAGCTCATTTTATCATATTAATAATTTTTATTATGAATTTAAATTAAATTTAAATTTTATTTGATATTTGCTGATTTTAAGGTGTTACATCTTTGTGTCCAACAAAGTGTCTTTTTGATGAGGTCATTTGATTGTCTTATTTTCTATGTGTAATTTAATAATACATGAAAATATTGGAACTCATAATCTTAAAGTTTTTTTTTTTTTTTTTGAAGTATATAATATTTATATACGGCAAATGCAACAAATAAATTCACACACACTTCTCACCTTTTGTGAGGTTTAAACCCCTGACTTCCTATGAGGCCAAAAACTATGATACCGCTAGGTCAAAGGCCTTTTGGTTCATAATCTTAAAGTTATGACTACTTAAAAGACGGATTTTACACGTCTTAACTGTTTGTTAAACTTACTAGTAGAAGGAAAAGACAGATGAAAACTACAATCAAATTTACGTTAATGCGATGATAGATTGGTATATGATATTAAACATGTACCTTATATTGTATCTACCTTATGTAATAAAGACGAGTAAATACCTATAGGCCCTAATCCACGACTATTTGGTCCTACGATAATTGGTCTTTTGACAAAATTGATCAAAACTTGGTCCTTGTGTCAACAAATTTAATTGACGCTCTACCCCAAGTTTAAATTTGATTAGACCAATGCCTAACATGTCGTTTTCATTTTTGAAAATATATTACACACAAATTGATCCAAGGCACCTGTTGTAAAGTCCTAATCATTTAACTAAAAAAACCCCTTCAGATTGACTCATCTCAACCAATCATAACTAATCTTTAACGATCTTAAATACGTAATGATTCAGTTCGATCTTACCATCACATCTTTTTGCGTTATATATACATATTGAAAGCGAAGATAAAATTAAAGATAGAGAATCGAATAAAATGAAGTACCCACTATTTCACAAACCATAAATATTCACATGAAAAAGTAAACTTACATTTTGCTCCTAATAAAATTAAAATTACAATTTGATCCTTGCAAAGTATCTAGAAAAAGATGGTTGAAAAGCAAAAAGTGGGGAGTTTTTAGGGAATCCTTGTACCTTTTTTCATAAAAAAAAGGATGGGGAACATATCTTCAGGAATTAAGCCAATCCATTGCATATATACAATCTATTCACTATTTACCACCTGCAAAAACACATCCAAATTATTAATTATTTTTTAAAATAAAATTATATTTTTTTAATTAAATTGTTTATCATGTAATAATCCGACTCACACTGACTGACACTGATGAACATCTTATAAGTTCAAAGTTGTGGGCTATTTAATTACCAATAAAGTTGAATTTGAAGTTATTGAACATGACTTTTGTTCTGCAACATTTACATGTTAATTATTTACGTCACAACTAAATATCCAATAAAAACAATATAAGTATATGAAAATAATTATTTTATTTGAAATTATAGTAAAAAAAGAAGTGCATATATGGTTGAATAATGTCCTATTATTTGTCAATGAATATTAGTACTATTTAATAGGTTTGGTTGCGTAGCAAATTCAAAGTGGTTACATGTTGATTATGTAAATAACGTGCCATCCATTATGATCATTAAATTAATAATTTCATTATTATAATTATATATATATATATGGTATATTTCTTTTACAACCTTGTGCATTTGTACAATCTTTGCAACCCAATTAATTGAGATATTTATAAAAATGATTGGAGTTCATTTATTATGATTTGAATATTTATGGAATATGAATAGAGTTTATTAATTATGATTAATACTTTATATTAGGAAACAATTAATTGATTAAAAATTGAATGGTTGAGATGAGGGTTGTATAGGGTGTAGGAATGACAAATGGTGTAGAATAACATCCCTATATATATATATATATATATATATATATATCTTATATTTCGATAAAATCAAAGTAACAGAATATGTTACATCCAAATAAATACCATACATTTATTTATAATCATAAGACTTGGGATTATATGAGACTAATCTATTTTCATAAGATCATTGAAATAAAAAAAATAACGTTGGATTTTTATATGAAAACACTATGAAGGTAACTTTCAAGTGTTTTTGCTAAGATTCAGTGTTTTTGTACATCTACAATGTTTTGCTGTAAAAGTTCAGTATTATTTTATGGTTTTACAAAAACATAATAATCTGACCAGAACCCAAACCGTAATCATAATACATAAATTTAGTGTATGTGTGTGTATATATACATATGTTTGATAAAAGATCGTGCGAGAAAGAAAGTCATGACATATATATATATATATATATATATATATATATATATATAATCTGAAAAACATGTACCTTTTTTGTTAAAAATCTTGCCCAAGGAAGATAAGAAAACAATGAGTAAAATAACCCCTGTTATGACTCCAATGGTGAGTGCCAATGTTTTATCCACATCTTCATCATCTCCTGCACCTGCATGCATGCAATTTTCATATTATTTATATTCATTAACTATTAAAACTATGACATAGAATTGAACCACCACCAACCACCGTCTGCTACGGTGGTGGAACAACCACTTACCGTTTCTCGAGTGGTGTTCACGGTCAACGTATCGAATATAACATTTTCCCATAAACATATCACCCCAAGTTGACGTCTCACACTCTGATCTCAGCCGTCCACTTGCTTCTAAAAGACAATCTTGACACTCGTTTACATCCAAATCCTGTACGCACTGCGCCACAGCCTGCACGCTCCCAGACCCACTTCCACGAAAGAATTGTCCATTACCGGCCGTTAGATATGCCAGCGTAGAATCTCGACGGTTCAAAGCATCTGAATTATAACCAATAGAAGGGCCACACCTCTTCAAGACCACCGTCTTATCCTGAACCCCCAAAAATGATGTATTATCGTATCTCACAAAACATCCTTGTAACTGTATTGCTCCGCCAGTCGCATAAGGACAAATTGTCTTGAGTTGACTCACTGAGTTGGCAACACAATCTTTGCAGATGGAGTTGCTAAGGTCGCCTTGACATTGGAAGAGACCGTAGACGACATTGCTTTGTGCAGATCCTGAGGGGGAGATTTTGAAGCTGTTGAAGTTGGAGATAGATGCTGAGTTGACTAAGGAACTGAATACTGAGTTGACATTTAACTCGTAAGGTGTGCCTGGGAGGAAATGAAGTTGAGAGCATCCGCCATAGATGAAGCTATCAGTGGCGGATATTGATTGGTGGAAGAAGATGAAAGAGAATAAGGGAAATGAAAAAAAGAGAGCTTGTGGAAGCATTTTGAACAGCATCTAATTTCTATCTTCCAGAGTGAGAGAAAGTGAGTTGTGACATGTATATATATGTATATAGACCTCATGGATACAATTCCTTATAAAACACACACAATCACACATACATACATACACACACACTCTCTCTCTCTTTATATATATATATATATATATATATATATATAGGGTATATTTCTTTTACAACCTTGTGCATTTGTACAATCTTTACAACCCAATTAATTGAGATATTTATAGAAATGATTGGAGTTCATTTATTATGATTTGAATATTTATGGAATATKAATAGAGTTTATTAATTATGATTAATACTTTATATTAGGAAACAATTAATTGATTAAAAATTGAATGGTTGAGATGAGGGTTGTATAGRGTGTAGGAATAGCAAAGGGTGTAGAATAACATCCCTCTATATATATATATATATATATATACCTATTCAAGGGAGAACTGAGTTGTTTGTGATAACTGTGAGAACCAATATTAACCACAAATCAATAGATAAATTAGAAAATTTATAAATTTGGTAATTTTAAATTAAAATCTTAATGCAAGGATATTTTTGGTATTTTACATCTCTCCTCCCTCCTCTCTTCTCTCTCCGGCCACCGTTCTCCGGCCTCCGGCCACCGTCCTCCGGTGATACCACTATGATATCACTGTGATACCTAAAAATATTGACTCTGTTAAACAAAAGATACATTGTGATACCTAATCATATATAAGATGCATAGTGATACCACTGTACATGTGTTACATCTTCGATCGACCACACAAACGACATCAATGTGATACCCAAGCACATATATGATGCATTGTGATACCATTGTAGTATCACCGGAGGACGGTGGCCGGCGGATGGTGGCCGGAGGACGGTGGCCGGAGAGAGAAGAGAGGAGGGAGGAAAGTTGTAATTTGTAAAATACCAAAAATATCCTTGCATTAAAATTTTAATTCAAAATTGCCAAAATTATAAATTTCCTAATTTATCTATTGATTTGTGGTTAATATTGGTTCTCACAATTACCACAAACTAATTAGTTCTCATTTGATTAGGCCCCTATATATATATATATATATATATATATGATTTTGCGAAAACATTTGTGAGAACACCTGTATTATACTCTAAGTAATCACATGTGATACATATTACATACCACAAGTTTTAATTTTAGAAAATATATATTAATTACATATGAATGAATATAGTTCTTACATTTTTTGTAAAATGAAACCTACCTTATATTTTATCCTCAAATTTGGGTCGTTTTAGTGATTGGGAAAACTAATTAACTTAGCCATACAGGTCATTGCATGATAATTAAATCATCAACCATGGCTGAAAATATATTATATATAATATGAAAATAATATTTTATGTACAACCTAATGATAGTTAGAGACAAACGATTAAGTTACAAAAAGCGAAGTGGTTAATAAAGAAATATAGAAAGTAATAATAATAAATATTTTTCAAATTAAACTATTTTTTATATTAATTTTATATTTAATAGTGAGTACGAACACCAACACCAAACTGTCTTTCTGGGTTTTAAAATCGATTTGATTGGTCAAGCAGTTCAATTTGTTGGAGAAGTCACGAAAATAAATATTGAATCATATACCTCGTTCAATTTTCAAAATATGAGAGATATTTGTCGGTTAGCTTAAAGAATTTAAATTCGTTGATGCATACAGTCGTGACAAACAGAACCCTAACGTATAAAAAGTTAGTGTAACTCGTAACATGAAAAGATTTGATCAAATGAAAATTTAATGGAGACGTTATACCTTTTATGTATAATTTACTGAAAACATGTATACGTTAAATTATTTAAACAAATTAAAAACTTCAATACATCTATGAACATAGTTAATTTAAATCAATATTCATTTTTGAAAATATGATAAAAATAAATAAGCAATCTCCGCTTTAAGTTGAAAAACGAGTAATGTGAATGTTTTTTTATTACTAGAAGGGTACTCGTGCAATGCAATGAAATAAATCTTGATTTTAATGTTTAATTTGTATTTTTTGTCTCTATTGATATAATACGATTTTATGTGGTTTTGAGAAAGCGATAATGTTTTTATTTTTGAATGAAATATAAATTTGAAGATAACATAAAAATTTGAAAAAAAATAAAATCAATATTAGCATCAAATTAAGTATTTGATAGTTCTCGTTTTTTTGTGTAACTTCTTTAATTTAATATTTTATTATAATTTAATTTAGATTTAATAAGAAAATAATTTATTTTTGGTCTAATAATATAATTTTTTATAAAGATATAAATTAAACATTATGTGAGAACTCAATGATTATCTTAATTATATTTTATATTTTTTAATTTAAAATAGATATTTATCTTGTATTTGATTATGTTTATCTGTAGTTAGTTATACGAACTTAAAAATAGAGCTTTAATAAGTTACACTTACGCAAAATTTCTTGTAATCTAAAATTTTAAGTAATATACATCAATACAAAGTATTTCATGCATAAAAAAATGGTTTTAAAAGTTTTTTTCAAATGCTTTATAATATAGTACAGATAAAATAAAGTAACAAAAATTAAAAAACTATTAACAATTAAATAACATTACAAATAAATTATAAATTATGTTTTAATGAGTTTTAATTTAATTTGTTTCAACCATATTAAGTCGTTTAATAATTTCAAGATTCGAAAGTTCTAGTTTACTACCTGCTCTGAATAATAAGAATCTTCTTTTTGAGACTATTTTTGTTTGTTTCTATTTTTATATTAATAAATGATCATCAACTTTATGGTAGATAATTATTAATTACAATCCATGTGCCAATTACATGTTTTCTAACATTTCTGAATTTACAAGGACTGAATTAGTAAACAAAACAAAGTACAGGGACTGGATAATCACTTTTTGTTCTTTTCCCATTTGTTTTCATCGCCACCGCTTCCAACCTTTACATCTTTTCCCCAACCACCATCAACCACCGTGCCCCACCACATACACCCAAACAGCCACATAGCTCCGGTCACCACAGCGTCCTATCAAACACCACATAACCTTGCTGTATATTTATAAATCAATTCTATAACATTTTTTTCTATCGTTAAATCAATTTCAGTATTTCTATTTTGTTTTGTACCGTCACTTGTCAGTGGAACATATTTCTTCTGATCACCATCGACTATTGAATACACACACAAATGTTCAGTATGTGTCATCAAATTCAGAGATGAACCCATAATTTTTGTATAACTGTAACACAAAATAATTATGTAATTTAAAACTAAAATAAAAACTCATTATCGTTACCAAATAAAACACAAAAAACCAATGAGATAGGGTTGGGATGGCTAATTCATTGGTGGGACATATGTTAGATTAAAAAGACTAATTTTATTTTTAAAAAAAAACATTGCAAAAATTAAGGGATGTTTGAGTGGTTTTCCATGAAATCATGTATGGATAAAGATGACTGAGAGATTTATCTGTTTGTATAGATCGAAAACGTTTTTGTTTGAGAATGTTTTTCATAGATGAAAAAAGCATCTTTTTATACTAGAAGAGAAAAGTTTGGGAAAAAAACAACTGTTTTCCTAAGTTTATTGAATAAGTTTCTCTCTATATTTTTAAACCATTATTAAATAATCATATATATTTGATCGAATGAAGTGTATATCTCATTAACCAACTTGAGACGTTCTCTTCCTATAAAAGAATAACACATTTTTAATAATACAATATTATTTTTAAAATAGAATTTTATATATTTTATTACATCATAAATTAGTAAAGATAAGAGCCCAAAATTGACAGAGCCCCCACCCCATGTGTCCCATTAAATAAGCATCACCACACCACTCTACCAAATATAGCTGCTTCTTTCTGACTCTTATTCTATTCTTGATCCTAATCACGAATGGTTGTTTCATTATATTAATATAAAAACACATATTTATCTATGTCATACACGTGTAAAGTGTATCACAAAGTTGGCCCTCTTATTTTCAAATATTAATAATAAAATATCATCATATTTGTATTTAATATTCTTTTTCTTAAACTGTAACGTATATGAATCCAAATATATGTTATATATTGTATAGAAACTTTTGATCAAATTCTATCAAGTAGATGAATAATTGAAAGGAAGAATATATTGGGGCCCACCAAGAATAAACTTGAGCTTCTCATTTGTTGGAAGATCCTCAAAATTATGAATATCTTACGCTGATAGAAATGTATTTGTTTTTTAGTTAGGTTTCGGTGAGAAACGTAAGAATTGATCTTCATCTTCGATGTATATTGGATGCACTGAGATACATCAGATCAATTTCCGTATCAAGTGTGATTTATGAGTGAGTTTGAGATTAAAGGTGATCAATGGTCTAGATTCATTCTTACTTTTCTCATTTTAACTCTCATTCTCACATGATCCTTCGTCTGTGTGTTTATATATCAATTGTATACTTCAGCGTAATATATATTTCGAATATGAATTCGAAGTTCATAACTAGAATCTTCACATCTTTGTTTTATTCTTTGCTTTTTATGTGGTTCATAAGCTATGTGATGTTTCAATTGAAAGAGTTCAACTGATTATCAAGCTTATGGAGTACTGTATCATTTTTTTAGTAGCACGTCTGTGTTTGAAAGTATTATTATCAGTTGGTTAACAATTAGTTTACTTAAATTTTTATATATTATGCATATGCAATAATAAGAGTTGTAAACTTAATTTTTAAAGCTTTTTAATTATATATAGTAAAAGATATGGATATATAGTATCAGACAAATGGATCGATGTTCCGAGAGACATGCAACATGTCTTTTAAGAGTTGTCATCTATCTATTTTTCTTTAACTTTTGATGGGAAACTAGCGATTGTTTGGACATGGAATAAAACATGTTCGGCAATAAATTATTAATTGATCATTTCTTTTTGTATTTAATTATTTTGATCTATTCGGTCATATGTATAGTATTGATTACGTTGTCATATTTTATTTTAAAATTTACGTATATGTAAGATATACTATCTTCGTAGAGGTGTTCGCGGCCACTAATCAAACCGCAATGATGGTTTAAGAAAATTCTCAAGCCGAACGGTTTGGTAGCAAATGACAAAACCGGTCAAACCTGGATCTTATAAAAAATGTTCGACTTTTAGTTTGAATTTTTAAAATCAAAGTTGTAGGGTAACGAGCGATTGCATTGTGACCTTACAGAAATATGGTTGGATTAAGTCTGATGGTCATATAAACTCATAACGTTTTGCTATTTACCATATTAAATGCAATCTTCATTTTCTTCAAAAGATTTCTAACATAAATTAATTCTACGTATTTAAAGTTTCAAATTGAGTCCTTTCGCTACAGTCAGAACCCTCTTTATTTGTTCTTAACATGCATGTATCTATACAATATTAATAAAACATTTGACAAAAAAAATTAAAACAATTTTTTATACATGTAGTATTGTTTATTGATACGTATTACTTAAAATTCAAGATCACAAATAAACTGTACATAAAGTACAACTTATTAAACCCTCATGTTTGAATTCGTGTAACTAACTACAGATAAACGTAGTCAAATACAAGATAAACAGTTCATTTTAAATATAAAAAATCTAAAATATAATTAGGATAATCATTGAGTTCTAACAGAATACTTAATTTGTATCCTTATAAAAAAATATCATTAAATCAAAAAGAAATTACTTCATTATTAAATCTAAATTAAATTATAATAAAAAATAAAATTAAATAAATTACACAAAAAACAAGAACTTTAAATAGTTAATTTGATACTAATATTAATATATTTATTTTTGAAATTTTATGATATATTCAAATTTATATTTTATTCAAAACTAAAAAAATTATTCATTTCTCAAAATCACATACATCGTATTATAACATCTACATAAACAAAATAAAATAAAACATTAAAATCGAAATATATATCTTGCTACATTCTAAAACTATAAAAACAAAGTCCAAGTGAAAGGCTTTTTCCAAGGCAAAAATTCCACTGATATCGGAATTGTATTATTGGACTAAAGCAAAGTTGGCCCTCACAGTCCTGGGCTTCAGCCCATTAGGTATTGTTTGCAACTATTTTCAATATATCTATGATTGATTTTTTTTATACAAGATCAAATTATAAAAAATAAAAATCATATTTTGGTTTTAAATTATAACAAAAGTCTAGAAAACCCAACCACTTAAACTTTTTTAATGGAGACATTTAAGTCTTTAACATATTTTTAATAAATAAACAATTAAATTTTTAAAAGAATTTAAAATAAAGAAAACCTGAACTGGTTTTATAATTTTCAAGCCCTACATCATTCAAACCCTTCACACACACACACACTTAACATCACTCCCCCTCGCCACCCCGTTATCGTCCGTTCTCCATACCATCGATCGCCGTTGTTGGACATGCAATCCATCTCCCTCTTATTGGATCTATTTTTTTTTTTTGTCTTTCAAATCTCCATTCGTTACAATAATTTTATGGAATACGTATAAACAAAAAAAGAGAATAAAAAAAAATCAAAAAGTGGGAGATCCGATGGCAGAGGACCGTAATGGGCAATGATAGGGGAGACAACGAGGAGCAATGTCGTTGGGCACAAGTGGTTTGAATGACATAGCATTTGTGAAAAATAGAACTGATATGATTTTTTTAACTTTAAAAATTTCATAGTCAACCATCAATTTGGTAATTCGACCAACTAATCTAAATAAGCTTGGTTTCATAGTTTTCAAACCAACCAATCGAGTATGAAATGTGAAATTCGACCAACCTAGTCCAATTATTTCGGTTTAATTGATATGTATAATAAATGTAAAAATAGGGTAAAGAAATATAAAAGAAATTTTTCTGAACGATACAACACACGTGTGTGACAGCAATCATGCATACCATAGTAAAAATAAAATTACGAAATCTATACCCTTACGAAAGGAGGGCAAACATCCAACAAAATTTATTAATCACAAAATACGATTTTACAAACTAAAAGTGGGACTCCCACTTGCATATCCACTTGATCTACTAGGACATGTATCGAGATCAAAACAGACAATATTGATACGCATAAATGGTTGGAACATCTTCTATATGAGATTTTGCATGCTGTGTAGATACATCTTAACAACGTCGTATACCTAGACATCGTAATACCTTGTCTCGTACTGTTATGACCCATAAAAAACAGAAGAATGATATTGTAAAGTCAGATGAATGTAAAATCTATGCATCAATAGTCATCTAATTTAGATGGTTTTAATCAAATACTACACATTTTGAAATGTTATTTTAATATTTTAAATATTAACTTTCTAACATAATCTTATTAAAATGAAAAATATGGTACCTTTTTCGTTTTTATAGACCTTAACAGCAACATAACCAGAAACCCCTCCAAGTACACCGCCTGCCATATTGGTAAGAAACCATCGTCCTATATTTTTTGCTTTAATATTACCTTTCCTTTTTTTGTCATGTCGACGATTGTTGTTACCATCACAGTTACGTGCATTATCATCGTTACCTGTATTCATGCAAATTTTCTATGTCAATGTTATTTAATTACAAGAATTAGTAGCAACCATCTAAGAGTGTTGGTGGTGGAGAAAGGCTTACCATGATCGACATATCGGATGTAACATTTTCCCAAGTACATATCACCCCAAGTTGATAGCTCACACTCTGATTTCAACCGTTTGCTAGCCTCCGATAGACAATACCCACATTCAATTATACTCAAATCTTGTACACATTGAGCCATACCGTGCATGCTCCCATGCCCACCTCGACGAACGTATTGTCCGTTCCCATCAATGAGATAAGTCAATGTCGCATCTAGATTGGTCAAAACATCTGAATTATAATCAATCGAAGGGCCACACCTTTTAAAAACCTCCCTCTTATCCTCAACCCCAAAAAAAGGTGTGTTATCGTATTTCACAAGACATCCTTCTAACTGCATGGTTCCAAAAGTCGACACAGGACACATTGTCTTGAGTTGATTCACAGCGCTTGCCACACAGTCTTTGCAATCAGAGAAGCTAAAGTCGCCTTGACACTGAAATAGGCCATAAACCACGTCGCTCTGTGAGGATCCTGGAAGGCAGATTTCAAATTTGTTGAAGTTGGAAACAGACGATGAGTCCACTAAGGAAGTGAATAACAAGTTGACATTGAAGTCATAGGGTGTCATCGGGGTGAAGCAATGCTGAGAGCATTCATAATTAATGAAGGTGTTGGTGGCTGAAACTGACAAGAGGGATAAGTTGAGAGAAAATAAAAATAACGAGAGAGAGAGAGATTGTTGTAACATTTTTAAAGCATCTAATATTTCAACACTCTACCTAGTTGTGAAATGTGAGTCATATACGTACACATACCTACATATGCATATATATATATATATATATATATATAATTGATTTAATGGGTTTCTCTTGCAGCATTGCCATCCCCGTCTCCCAACCACTTGCTTCCCCCCTTGTGCCATCGCCATCCCCCGACCCCCGCCTTCCTTGCTCCCCTCATCATCGATATCCCTGTTATTTGACTTTTTCTTTTAAATTCTCACAATTACTTTAATAATAATTATTATTATGGGGTAAAATTCAATTTTGGTCCCAAAGGTTTCTAATTTTTCAATAAATATCATCTCTAAACTTTAAGGACTTAGATTTTATCCTTTACATTTGTTAATTCCCAAAACTTTTGGTCCCTTTATTTAACACTCGTTAACTTTTTCGTCAAATCCAGTTAAATAATAGATATTTTATTCATTTTAATTATTTTCTTAATCTTATATTAAAATTAAAAAGCATGTTTTATTTTTAATTTTAATGTAAAAAAAATAACAAAGATAACCACCACGTATAGTTTTTTTCCCCTTTTGGTTTTATAATTTACAATTTAAAATATTTTATGCATCAATGGGTGTATTTCAAGTCGTTGACATTTGATCCACGCCATCGTTGATAAAATATGTTTGACCTGTGTCCAAGAATGTTCAAGCTATTTAGGAATAAAAACGTTATTCTCAATTTAATATATTATATAAAATAAACATTATTTTATATATAACTAAAATGGTACTCGCGTAATTCAGCGGGATACATCTTGATTTTAATATTTCATTTTATTATTTATCTCAATCGATGTTATAAYATGGTCTTATGTGATTTTGAAAAAGCGATAATGTTTTTATTTTTGAATAAAATATAATTTGAAGATATCATAAAATTTTGACAAAATATATCGATATTAGTATCAAATTAACTATTTAAAATTCCTATTTTTTGTGTAATTTTCTAACTCAATTTTTTTATTATAATTTCATTTGTAATTAGGTTAAAAACAAATCGGCGACTTTACAGGCCTTTGGTCTACCTTAAAGGTGACCCTATTAGACAAAAATTCTGAATCCGCCACTGAATAAGATACCTTATAAACTATCTTATAATTACCAATTCTTTGATAAACAAAATATGTAGACGGTGGCCGGTGGCCAGTGGCTCCCCCATTCACACTTTATACAATGACATAAACAATCGTCCGTCTCCTTCCAAACAGAATTTATGTCGGTCATGACTCAAAAACAAAAAGCTGAAACTTGGAGTTTTTCGATCGTTGACTTTGACTTGTATGCAAATGTTGAACAATATGCTTCACCATTTGCTTCTCAAATAATGTTTTTCAAACGAAAATTATTTTGAATTTAAACTATTTCTTAAGTATACTGTATATGAAAAAGGTATTGTGTCGGAATATGAGTTAAAGTGAGAAGCATACGAAGAAAACTTGGACCATTGATCACTTTAAATCCCACTTAAGGGTGTAAATGATACGTGTCAATCTCGAGTATCAATATATTCGACTTGAACTCGATATCCATTCTCAAGCTCGAACTCGACTAGAAAACTCGTGAGTGGTTAAAACTCGATTGGAATTTTTTAAACTCAAGCTCGAACTCGTTTGAAGCTCGTACCAAGCTCAAACTCCTATTCAAATCAAGTTCGAACTCAAACTCGGATTCTAACTCCAATCAAGCTCACCCATCGAAATCTTATGAATTTTTATGGTTTTTGCTTATAAATTATATAACTTAAAAATGTTCTCTTAAATTTTAAAAAATCAAATCATCAAAAAGACAAAGTTACAAACTTAATTCACCTTCTTCTCTTTTTATGATAATTTTTCACTCCTTTTACTATCTCTTTTTTAATGTGGAACAATTTCACCAACACTTTTATAATTTTTTTTGTCTTTTTTTAACTATGATTTTAATTAAAAAATATTGGTTAGTTTTTATAGTTAAAAATGCATAATATTGTTCAAATATCTAAAAGTATAACACATTTTTATTACATTAGAGTATACATATCTATACTATATTACAAAGAATTTTACAAAAAACTCTTAAAAACAATTTCTTATGCATGAAATACTGTTTATTGATGCATATTACTTAAAGTTCGGGATTACAAGTAAATTGTGCATAATTACAGCTTATTAAACCTCCATTTTTAAATTCGTGTAACTAAATGCAGATAAACATAATCATATACAGAATAAACATCACATTTTAAATATAAAAAATCTAAAATATAATTAGGATAATCGTTGAGTTTTAATAGAAAACTTAACTATAATTTTTATAAAAAAATTATATTATTAATCCAAAAATAAATTGATTCGTTATTAAACTAATATATACTTAATTATTATCTTTATAAAAAAATATTATTAAACCAAAAATAAATTGATTTATTATTAGACCTAAATTAAATTATAATAAAAAAAATTGAATCAAATAAATTACACAAACTCAAGCTCGAACCAGCGTCTGAATACATACACCATTATTTGACTTTTTCTTCCTTTAAACAACTTTCAGTATCAACTAAATATATGGGGTCGTATATGAGAGGGCTGATTGTTTGTGACAACTTGTGTTAGTGTGTAATGCTTATTTTTCTTTATTTTTATAATTTAAAAAATGGATTACGTAAGTTGCATAATGACACTTGTAATACTTTTATTTCCACCATAAGTAATGTCATGTTATTTATCTCAAACATTACCTTATGTCGTTGAACATGACGATAAGATACAATCGAAATCACCGTCACATCAGAAGTATTAACTCAAAGTAATACAAGCATCCAACATTAGCCCGTCCCATACCAGACTATCAAACATAAAACTTAAGTACGAGATAGTGATAAGTTTAACAACTAGCAAAACACGAAAAGGAACATAGCATAAAGGAACTTATCTATGCTTTGCCCTTCGCTTTGTTCAAATCCGAACCATCGGCTCATGAGATGCATACTGATTGTAACCTAAAAAGCTCAGCGAGTTCATGCACATAAATACACATTAAAACACCAATAGATAATATACATATTACAGTAAAAACATTTAACACCAAGAAGATCTCCTACACTGCCTCATCAAGTAGGTTGTTATGTCACTTACATTCCTTGGGTTGCATGGCTTACACCCGTCCGACACCTATTTTGGGGTCGTGCTACTCCTAAATGTGACATAATGGGCCCGGTCCCATACCCAAATATCGACACCAAAATGCGCCACATGAAAAATGACTCAAATAGCATGCTAATAACATTTAAAAGGCAATAAGTAAATAATATGCATCACCTCATAAAAAATACATACAAGTAAGCATACACCCATAAAGATGTACATAGAAATGAGCCACCATGCATAACTCCAATAAATAACATGTCAAATTAATTTATTTACGTATGTAAACATTTCATAAAATCTAATGAAGACTCACCTGAAAATATTGACGTATCCAAACAAATTATCCCTGCTTAGTGACCTACATGACATGCATCAAAATATTCTATCAGTGGTCTAATTCGCCAAAGGTCAACTAAAATCAACTATGGTCAAACTTCAGTCAACTCCCGAGCACTAGGCTCATCGACGTTCCAAAACGTCAATTTAATCATCCTATAATTTTATAAGCTATATCTCTAAATTAAAACGTCCAATAACCATTCGACTCAATTACAACTCTTTAATCATCTTATTAAAAAATCTATATAATTAAATGATTTATTTTCACTCATACCTTAGGTTTAATTAATTAATTAATTAATATTAATTTCTAATTAATCAATATACTAAATTAAATTAAGTTCAATAATTTCATACACTAATTAAATCAGAAATTAATGTAGATTAATTAATTTTATAATAATTCGATTACGATACCTTTAGAAATCTAATAAATCGTCCAAGTGACGTGATTATAGAAATTCTAGGAATTACTAATTAATTAATACTAATT